CTCTTCACGTTACTATCCTGGCTTAGGATTCCACTACGCACCGGTGCTCCGTTGTACATGTCCAAACCATCTCAACCGGTGTTGGACAAGCTTTTCTTCAATTGGTGCTACCCCTAATCTATCACGTATATCATCGTTCCGAACTCGATCCCTTCTTGTATGACCGCAAAACCAACGCAACATACGCATTTCCGCGACACTTATCTGTTGAACATGTCGTCTTTTCGTAGGCCAACATTCTGCACCATACAACATAGCAGGTCTAATCGCCGTCTTATAAAACTTGCCTTTTAGCTTCTGTGGTACCCTTTTGTCACAGAAGATGACCATAAGTGCCGATGAAAACTTGAAATGGGCTGATATTTGCAAAAATGTTCACCACTGCTTGGTTCGTATGAAACTTGAGGTCTATGTTTTATACTTCACATGTTGTTAGTCACCATAATGGTGGAATGGGATAGGCACGCCTTGTTATAAGATCACTGCAGTTCCATGTAATGCACTTGACTGCTTAGGTCTATGTTTCTGAATTGCTGCACTTGACCGCTTGTTATAACTTCACTGCAGTTCCACGTAATACGTTTATGAGTATGCATATCTGTTGCTATATCTGGATTTTGCAGTTGTGTGAAGTGAACTCTGACAAGTAAATACACTGCAATTTGGATGACGCTGTTTATTTCTATATCTTGTATGTAGTAATAATGTTTGTACTATATTCTTGATCCATGACAAATTTCAGTTCTTTGGTTGAATTACCACTCCCCATTTAAGGAATCGTCTCACTTTTCTGCTGCTGACTAGCTCCAAATTTTTTTTTCCACTGCAGACAAGCCTAAGGATGCGGCGAGGTGGTGATGCTATGGATTCACGGCCTTATTTCCTCCTGGGAGATCTTTGGGAATCTTTCAGGGAATGGAGTGCTTATGGGGCTGGTGTTCCACTGGTGTTAAATGGCAGTGACTCGGTGATTCAGTATTATGTGCCATATCTTTCTGCTATCCAACTATTTGCGGATCCATCTAGACCAGCTTCAAGAAACAGGTACAACCTATTCTGTCACAAAGAGTCGTGATGTCTAGAAAATTTCCATTGAACTTAAACCTTAAGAGGGCCAATGTGTGTACCAAAACGGGTTCCTTGTTTGTCTCTGTTATGCTTAGTTAGTTTGACCTTTGGTATTAAGTTGAATACTGATGGGATTGTGCTCCATGCTTTTCGATTTTTTGTACATCTATGTCAATCTGTATGAAAGTAAATAACTATGCTTGAATGCTATTGAACTAGAGCTTAAGGCAGATTAAGCATTCCCAACTTTTCTTTTTAGTTATATTCCCTTTCGAGGAAAATTATCTTATGCGTTGCTGAGATTTACTAACATGATTTTATCAAGAAATTCTATATGTGACAACGTTTTGCAGATTTGTTCTCTGTTAACTTGCAAGAACACTGCGATGAGAGTTGATATCTTTTGCATTCACCTGATGTTCACTAGGCATTGCTACATGTGACTTTAATTTGGTGGACATATATGGAAAGAAATTAAATGAAGTAACAAATGGGAGAGAGAAGTTATGAGTAGATAGCTACAACCAGCACGCTGTTCAGTATTGTTGCTTTTATCACCTTGGTGATGTATTTGATAGTGTATAACTTTTTCTAGTTAATTTTCTCGCTTAAGGCGTCCTGGGGATGAAAGTGATGGGGAATCTATGGATACTAGCAGTGAGAGCAGCATTGAGAATGATGTTGAGCGGCTAAGAGTCTCATCATCACTGGAAGGTACACATCGACTGGAAAATGGTGGCATACGAAGTGATGATGGTGAGGGCGATGCATCTCCAAGTTTTCCAATATTCGAGTATATGGAGAGGGATCCTCCATATGGTAGAGAGCCTCTGACAGACAAGGCAAGTTTTTCTTTTCTTTTTTTGAACTAATGCTTATTGAAGATGGCCTGTTTATAGAATCTAACTGTGCACGGGTTTCAGGTATCAACTCTTGCACATAGATTTCCAGCTCTGAAGACATTCAAAAGTTGTGATCTACTGCCATCGAGCTGGATGTCTGTTGCATGGTATATTTCAATTACTATTGGTTTTTGTTCACTCAATTTTTACTTCCATTTTCTCAATGGCATGGCCGTGATGAAATATGGTCCTCTATTGCTGGACTCACTATGATGTATGATATGTTTTGTGCGATTGCTCTAGTTCTAAGGTCAATGTTGTCTTCTAACTTCCACTTAAAATGTGTCGACTAATTTGTTAAGGTCGGTGTTTTCTTGTTATTTAGCTGTGGTCTGAGCTGCTTGACGTTTTTATAAGATATCTGCATTAAGTTGATCTCATGTATTTATAATCAGCCAACATGTAGTTTCATTGCCTTAATGCTGTGCCTTTTTTTGTGTACTACATTTTGATTTGTAGAATCTAGAATGATGCTGTTGCACTGGTCAGAGTTATGACATTTGCCAACTGTGCTGGCCCATGCAGAGGATGCCTACCAGTTGCAATGCCTAACAATGGCTTGCCTACTGTGCTGAATTTCAGCATAAGATACAACCTGTGTAGAAGAGCAACGCTGCTAACCTGGTGTTGCTATGATTCTATACGTTACTGGTTTCATCCTCATGCTTCCGATTGCAGGTACCCCATATATAGAATTCCAACAGGGCCAACATTGAAGGATCTTGATGCCTGTTTTTTGACATTCCATTGTCTAGCAACACCTTGCAAGGGTAAATACTAGTGACTTGTAGTGCCATAGGGATTTTACTTTGCCACGGACAGATGGCAATGGCACCTGTGTGACATTTTGCCCCTGATTGCATCTGTTGCATATAGAGTTCTTACTCCATTTGTTCTTGCAGATTGTGACCCTCCTACGTCAGCATGCCCTGGCTTTGGGGGAATCAACTGCTGCACAACTGCAACTGGGAAACTATCATTGCCTATCTTTGGGCTGGTACCTTACAAATTCCGTGCCTCCATTTGGACATCTGACGGAACCCAAGAGCGGGTCACCTCACTGATGCAGGAGGCTGACAGCTGGCTCCGCAGAATACAAGTAGACCACCCAGATTTCCGGTTCTTCGTCTCCCATTTCAGTACAACGTGGAGATGACTCATGGCTGTAAATGGTTTTACAGTATGATTACTGCCTCGCCGTCCAAACTGAACCGCCTTCTGCACATCTCTGGCAGAGACCGAGTGCCCTCTTGTAACGGGGGTTGTATGAGTTATAAGCCTGCACGCTAACTTTTTTCCTGTCTCCAATAAGTTATATCTGTTGTAGGTTGGTTTGTTTTGTGGGAAAGTAAAGCAGAATTGGAGATAATGTAGAACTGAAAGAAACAAAAGAGGAAAAAAATAAAGAATTTCAATTAGTGTTTAGGAGCACCGGTGTATGCTGATTATCTGATTTTCTGGTTCATTCACCAGAGGTGGCACAATGTTTATTTATTCATAATAGGATGCTGTTACCAGATGTATCTTTTCTCATATTAAATGTGCACAAGTCCGTCACTCACCTGTTCATCAATGAAAACACCAGAAGTACAGATGTTTCAATAGAGGGTTTCTTCTGCTATATGCTTATTTTATAAATGGAGGGTTTGTAAAAGTATATGCTGCGAAAACAACAAGAGGCAAATCTGTGTTCTGCAGGTGATGGATGGTTTCTCCAGCCCGCGACTGGTTCCACTTGCAGGCAGCCCGGCCACGGCCAGCCCAGCTTTGAACGAGTCGCAGCTGCGGGACGGGGCGTCCACTGCTCCTCCACTCCCGCTACCGCTAAAACAATTCGCGAGAGAGACAGAGGCGCGACGCTCGGCCTCAGCGCAGCGTGCCGCCCTCACCTGTTCGATTTCCTTTTCATTTCTGCAGCCCCAGCGGCATGCCATGCCAAGCACAAACGACGGGCGTCCAGCAGCAGCTTTCACGTCTCTCCGCTACATATACATACGTGCGGGCGCCGCGGCCGCGGGGCCTCCCACCCACGTCCGTCCAGAGCCAACCACTTCAGCCAACGCTACGCTTGGCGTGATGAGGGGCCTGCAGGAGGAGTTCCGGGGCGGCGTGCAGGTGCAGCCGCCGTCGTCGCACGGCGGCAGCGACGGGCGCGCGCTGTCGTGGTGGTCGGGCGACCCCGAGGCGAAGCGCCGGCGGAGGGTGGCCGGGTACAAGTCCTACGCCGTGGAGGCCAGGGTCAAGGCGTCGATCCGCAAGGGCTTCCGCTGGATCAAGGACCGCTGCACCGGCCTCGTGCGCCGCTACTGACTGACCCGAAGACGGAGACGCCTGACGACGGCCTCGATCCGGCGAGCTGCTGTGTCGTCGTGTTGTTAACCTTTTCGTGACCGTCCGTTGTCTTTGTACTATAAATTTAAAGGCCCGTGCTTCGTCTCTTTCGTTCTCCCTCCCTGTTTTCCTCGCATGTTACCTGACATTTTTTTTGGGTGTGTAACTCTGTTGTTGTTCTTATTATTGCGGATGCAAGTAATACATACACAAACGGGAATGAATCCTCCCAATCGTTTTGACGCATCCATGTGTGTAGTGTAAGAAGTGGTGTGTATAGCAACTTACAACTTAATAGTAGAATCTATAGGTGAGATTGAGAAGAAAATCGCGCTAGGAGATAATATCTATAGGTGAGAGTAAGAAGAAAATTGCGCAAGGAATAATTATAGATATATACACTTCAAAAGAATTCATCGATTCATCAGTGAACTTCAGTTTTCACATCTTCTCTCTAAGCAACCCATATGCTCCTCAAATCAAAGGTGAAAACGTGGGGGTTTAAATATGGAACAAATTACGGAGAACTCGTAGCACAAAAAAAACCTGTATACAACAACAACAAAACTGTATACATGGAACAAAATCTTTGTATAGCCAGAACAAACCTTATACAATGTAAATAACACAACTATATATCATACATACTGGTGGAACACAATTAAGCCAATACCCTATTCAATCTGAGCTCAAATGAAAATGAAGAAAAAACTGAAAAAAGAGAAAGAAAATAACAACAAGAAATGGAGCCAACACAAGAAGCGGGACAACCAGTTGTTGGGCCGTGGGCTGTGGGCCTGTGGCCGTGGAGGTGGCAAGTGGGTGACTCGCTTTCCGACTGGTCGGAACGAAGATTGTCGCAGCGTTCAGGCAGGCCTCGCAGGCAACCTTGTAGGTGTTCGATCCGCCGTCGCCGTCGCCGCCGCGCTACGCCAGGTGCCCAGGTCTTCGTCGGTGCCTTCGCCGGCGACAAGCCAGGTATGCGCCCCCCTTCTCATCATCCTTCCCGCTGTGCGAAACCGAGCAGACGAACCCCAACTTAGGCTATTTGTTCCCGGATCTGATCTGATCTAATTACAGGTGTGTGCGTGTATTATGCCTGCTAACTTCGACTTTTTTTTTTTTGGGGGGGGGACTTATCGGGTGTACATTTAGTTGGGGTACATTTACAGGATTCAGTCTCTTTATCACTCAATATTCATAAATCGACTAAGGTTTAGGAATATGATTTATCAGAGAGAAGCTAATTTAGTGGTAGCACAACGAGAAAATATAGCAAACGCATACGGAGTATTGGTTATTAGGAGTCCACAAGCCTAAAGCATCAAAGGAAAGGATCAGTCCGAGCAGTATTTGATGGTGGTTGGGCTAAGAAAGGAGCAAGTTAGAGAGGCAGAGATGCAGGATTAGAAATTTTCTCTCGATGTGACTGGGACTGGAAAACAATGCCAGATTCTAGTTCTGGTTCTTGTGTCGATGAATCTTGAAGTGTGTGCTGTCACCAAAAGGCTGCAAAGTGGCCTACTGGCTACTCTGGTCACAACAGAACTTTGTGGTTTCTGCAAATCTGGCTAGGCTCTAGATTTTTATTGTTTTAATTGCATCTCTAGTTACAATGCGTTCCTCGGTATATTTTCATAATGTGCCAGTAATAATTCACACTTGCATTAAACAATGTTTAATTTGTTATTCGTATAGACCATTCCGGATTACGCAATCTCAAAAGCAAGACTCTTGTAGTTTGATGTTGGTCCAGATTATCCTCTTTGGCCAACAGAAGTCTGATTGTCACAGAACCACAGATAATGCTATTTCAGCAGCACTTCTATCACAATATTGTTGTGTTCCTGGAGACAGTAGGTTACATGATTTCAGATGAGATGCAATGATGTGGAGCGTACTTTAGGCCTTGTTTGGATCTCAAGTTTTATAAAAGCTAGATTTCTTAAAACAAGTTTTTGTTTGTTATTTAGAAAACCTTGTCTGTTTCCTACAGCTAACTTTGAGATAAGCAAATCTGGTTTCTAGTAAACTCAAGATTCCATGTTTTTAGTAAAATCTACTGAGTCATTTTTAACAAAACCAGTTTACCCTATTCCTGTGTCTGTGGCTGGAAATCTTTCATTCACATAACTAACTCAGCTTTGATGATGAGGATAGTTTGCATGGTGACTAACGACGTGCCATTCATCTAACACGAAACACATTGAACACTTGCAAGACAAACACAGAAATTTATAAACCAAAAATGGCAGAATAACTACTTAAACCTTGTTTTTTTGTCTAAATGTTCCTAATAAAAGCCTTCTCTAAGAACTGATTTCTAATCTTGAGATCCAGACAACTACTTATTGTGCATGTATCCTTCAATTACTTGTTGTCTGACTCCATTTTTATTCAGTTACTGTGGCTGTGATGAATAGTGATTTGGGAGGCTTAGGTGGCAGGCCTACAAATCCACAAGCAAATCCTTTTGGAAGTGCCTTGCATGGTGCTGGACCAGGATTGATCCGTACTGGACTAGAAGCATATGGGGGGAGGTTCTTAGATTCAAGTTCTGAGTTTATGCAGAGCAATGTAAATTTGTACACAGGTTCCTTGTTTAGAGATTAGTATAACTATCCTGAAACTGTAAAGGCTAAACCTCATTCTGTTTTTGCCAGATAACACAATATTTATCCAACCCTCAGTACTACTTTCAAGTCAACAGCCAGTATGTGAGGAACAAACTGAAGGTCATCTTGTTCCCTTTCTTGCACAGGGTAAGAGCTGTCAACCTTCTATCTGCCTCAGCGGGATTTTTCATATTCGGCCTGTTCGCTGGTTGGTTTCTGGGCTGATAAGCTCGGCTAGTGCTGGTTTGTTGTGAGAGGAAAACACTGTTGGCTGGCTGATAAGCCCTGGTTGAAACCAACAAGCGAACAGGCTGATTGTGATTTTGTGAAGTCTCATATGACGTGTCTTGCCTTTATTGCCTTCATTAAGGGTCACTGGACAAGAATAACTGAACCAGTAGGAGGAAGGCTGTCCTACAAACCTCCAGTCCAGGATATCAATGCACCAGACTTGTACATCCCTTTGATGGCATTTGGCACCTACATTATAGTTGCTGGGTATGCTTTGGGTGTTCTTGGAAGGTAAACACGCTGTGAAGAACCTATTGTGTTTCATCTAGAATTAGAGAGGAACATTGCACACGAGAAGGGCAAATAAATATATGAACCGCTGCATTGCTTGGCGATGCAGGTTTACCCCTGAGGCGCTGACCCTACAGTTCTCTAAAGGGATACTTGGCTGGTTTCTGCAAGTCATCCTCATCAAGGGTCTGCTGTACTCCCTGGGCAGCGGTGAGGCTCCATTGCTGGACGTCGTGGCGTACGCTGGATATGGTTTCGCTGGCACTTCCATTGCGATGCTAGCCCGCATCTTCTGGAGCTACCTGTACTACTTCATCATGCCATGGTTCTGCATCTGCACGGGAGTCTTCCTTGTGAAGACCATGAAGAGGGTTCTTCTGGGCGGGCTAAGGAGCTACGAGAGGCACCCCAGCCGGAACCACTACTTCCTGCTCTTCTTGGCGGTTGTGCAGTTCCCTATGCTGTTCTGGCTCAGCAGCATCAGCGGCTGATCTTTAATCCTATGGACTATGGTCTGGCCGTACGTCATTTCTGAGAGGCTGTTGAGCAGAATAGACCTTGTGGTACTTCTTGCTTGCTGATGAATCCTAGGTTATCGTGGAGTTGGTACAGAACTATCGGTTATAGATATCTGGCAAGAAAATGAAGGGACTTGTGAGTACCTCTTTTTGTTTCTGTTGGAGACGAAAGTAACCATGATCATTTGGGATAGGATGAAGATGAGCTGCTTCGTGTATGCTATTTGGATCCTACTTACCATGTTATGCCTTGTGTACGCTCAAATCTGACTTGGTTTTTATCTGATCATAATACTACTAGATTTTTATGACCACACTTCTCACCCAACCAGTTGAGTCAGGCTCACTTCATATATTTGTTTCGATATATATGTTTACACCAGGTATGCTTTGTGATGAGATGTGTGAGCTGCGTGTTTTTTGGATGATCTCTAATTGTTTTGCTTTCCAGAGTTGGAACTTGGAGGCAGGCAGGCAGGGAGGGAGTTCAAACTTCGTGGATGATCTCTAATTGTGATCAATAGAAGTGGGTTCACATGCTTGAAGAGCATATGTACCAAGATTTTTGTTCCTTTACTGCAACTCCGAAGAAATATATTTTAAAAAAATTTCCCGTGTCGAAAATGCACATTCCTCAAGAATACATACATGATCATATGATCTGCTCGAGATCCTTTTGTTACTTTTGTTTAATAAGCCTTCTTTTTTTACCAGAAAGACAGGATCATAGTTTTTCTTCAGAATTTCTTTTGTACGCGTAAATAGCATGCAACGTTACGGCATCTACGAAGTTGCTAAGATTTTTTTTTTTGATCACGTTGCTAAGAATTTGTTTGAAGTAGTAGTATTCAAAAGCAAAACTGCGGCAGACTGCACCGGGTGGCTGCAGCCTTTAGCGGATCGGCTGGTGCATGTAACAGTAGATTTTGGACGGTTCTCGATGATTTAATAGTGTTACGTGAGAGAGAGGAAACAGTCCGATACCTGAACAGCCGAACGCGCTGACGTCGTCGTCGTCGTGGCCCCCTCAAACCTGGGCCCTTCTTCCCCGTACACCAACCATCCATTCCAACTTCCAAGTGCTTGCAATTCCAAGCACCAATTCGGCAACAACTCTTGAAGCGACTGCGACAGCTTGTGCACATGAGGCTGGACAGGACACAGGATGGGTGCCAGATTGGCAACGCCTTTCACCACCTTTGGGCTTTGGAAACGTCCGTGGTCCGTCCGTTCGTTCTCGACCTGAAAACTCCTGGCGCTGGCAGTGGCACGCAACACACACCACAATCCACAAGTCCGGCACGCGGCCGCGGCGGCGCCATTACCATCCCACCCCGAGATGGAAATGTGGAGCAAGAGAAAGAGGAAGAAGAAGGAGGCAGGCAGGCAAGGCACCTGCAACTCACCTGCCGCTGATCCGGAGGATGCTCGCCCCATGCTGCGTTGTCGGCCCCTGTGCTGCGTCGTGCTCGACTGCTCTAGTGTGGTTGCCTGACATCATCACACCATCGACACCGTTGTCCGTCTCTGTTTTCGTACTCGTGTCGAGGTGGGGCGGCCAGGTTCGTGCGTGCGTGCGAAACCGCATGGTGTACCTGAGGTCCTGAACCCAGGAATGGCAGCAGGAGTGAGTGACACAGTGCCATATAGGCCCGTTCGTTGTTCTGAAACTAGCTGATTGTTCTGAGAGAGAAACACTATAGCGGCTGAAACTGGCTGGTTGTTGTGAGGAGGAGGAGCCGGCCGACCCCTAGTGCCATACTGACATTGCCCACTGGACAGATCTCACAGCACAGCATTGGCTCCTCAACTTCAGTAGAGACTGCAGTTGCACCTGCACACCTTCACTTCAGCCACAAACACATACTGCATTGGCTCAGGAAAATAAATGGCGCGAAAGGGTGAAGCACTCAACCCCCCCAACCCCCAAAAAAAAAATTCTCATTTTTCAATAAGTTAAACAGTTTTATTTAACCCGATCAAAGCTATACAAAAAAAAAATAAGCATCATTATGTTTATCATGAAATATATTTTTTCATACGATCTCTATTGAGAGTTTTTTTTAAAAAAATTGAGAGTTATACATGCTAATAGTATTTTCTATAAACTTAGTCAAATTCGAGAAAGTTTGATTCTGATATAAGTAAACCTAGAATTGCATCTTTTGATGGAGTTAGTACTGTTATAAGATAGTGCAGGGTCAAAAGCTAATCGGGGATAGAATAGATGTCCCTGATTTGAAACTTTAACAACAACAGTAAAAACCACATCGTCATCGCATTGCGCGCTCTGTGAATGTGATCTCCCGGTGTTTCTGTCCCCCCACATCACATTACAGTACAGTAGTGTATTGCACTTTGCGCGTCTCTCTTCGCCGCGCATGCATGCATGGTGTCATCTTTTTTCCAGAGTGCCGCGGACGCATTGCCCCCCTGCACTGCACTGCATGCGTTGGCATGAAAAAGGCGGTAATTTTGCGGGATCATCGACGTACATAGAAAGCAAACAAAGGTTCTGCCGTGCCTTGGTTCCATGGACACGGTCAGGGAGGAGGGAAAAGTAGGTTTGGGGAAGGGTGAAAACTTGAAAAACACACCGTCACCGATGTAAAGTAATCTGCCGCTCTCCCCTGTTTAAACGCGTAGCAGGGGCGGTCACCGAAAAGGCTCTCTACTGTTGCACTGTAGTCGTGGCAGGGGCAGCGACCGAAAGGCTCTCCTACCACGCTATAGCCATAGCAGAGGACATGCGCCAAGTCAGTCCTGCTGTCACATTTACTCACTGTAGCAGCATGACAGCCTGACATGTCTGTGTACTAGGATTAGATGTGTAGAGTTGTATCTATAGTTTTCCACTGCAACTCAGTAAAGAGAGTGAGTTCAGTTTTGTCATCTCCTCTGCACAGCTCTGGCCAACGCTGGTGCTTGTGCTATATGTGTGTGCGCTCTCTGTTCTCTCTCTTTTCTTCTACCTCTAGCCATATTGTGTGGTCGGTAACGCTAATGAGCGGTCGGCTCACTCGTGTGGAAGATCCAGGGGCCAACAACCGTCACCGTCCCTTCTTCTTTGCGGATCAATTACGCCAGCCACAAATAGTGGTCGACGGTACTTCCTTCTGCTAGTGGATGATTGCAGTCGTTATATGTGGCTGCAACTCCTGACGAGCAAGGATGAGGCGGCGGAGGCGATCAAGAAGTTCAATACGCGCGCGGAGGCGAAGAGCGGCAAGAAGCTGCGCGTGCTGCGGATTGATCGCGGCGGCGAATTCACTTCGGTGGAGTTCGATGCGTCTTGCGCGCGGATCAGGGTGTGGTACAACACCACACCGCGTCGTACTCACCACATCAGAATGGCATGATGGAACGGCGGAACCAGACGGTGGTCGGCATGGCTCGATCCATGATGAAGGCCAAGAGCATGCCGGCAAGGTTCTGATGCGAGACAGTGACCACGGTGGTGTTCATCCTCAACCGCGCGCCCACCAAGGCCCTGAAGGGCACGACGCCGTTTGAAGCTTGGTATGGGCGCAAACCGAGCGTGTCTTTCCTCCGAACATTTGGCTGCATCGGCCACGTCAGGAAGACGAAACCGGTTCTCACCAAGCTGGAGGACAGGAGCACACCGATAGTGCTCCTGGGCTACGAGGAAGGTACCAAGGCGTACCGGCTCAATGACCCATGTGGAGGCAAGGTGGTTGTCTCATGTGACGTCGTGTTCGACGAGAAGGCGGCCTAGGACTGGGACAGTCCGAGCATTGGGGAAGCTGGCGGCTTCACCAGCACCTTCGTCGTTGAGCACTTGGTCATCCACGGTGGTGGAGACGCTAGGGAGGAGGTGCCGACCACTCCGGCAACAGAGCCGAGCACTCCTGGGGCAGTATCGAGCACTCCGACGAGGGGTGCCGAGCACTCCAGGAGTGGTGCCGAGCGGTCCTGCAGTGATGCCAACCACTCCAGGAGATGTGCCGAACGCTCCCGTAGCAGAGCCGAGAGGTCTTGCAGTGGTGCCGACCACTCCAATACTGGTGACGAGCACTCCTAGAGGGGTGTTGACCACTCCAGGAGTGGTGACGTGGGGTCCAGAAGTAGTACCGAGCGCTGCAGCCGGGGTGCCGAGCACTCCAGGTGCTGTGCCGTCCACTCCTACGGAACAGGGGACTCCATCGAAGCCGATCGAGTTCGCCTCACCTCCAAGCGACATCACTGAGTTCGTGGATACCTTCCACGACGGTGAGGAGGTGCGGTTCCGCAGGCTGGACGACATCGTTGGCGGCATAGGGTCCTCAGGCCTAGCGGGCCAGCTGCTCAATGACTCAGAGCTGCTTCTCGTTAGTGTAGAGGAACCACCCATATTTGCGCTGGCCGAGGACGATGCAAATTGGCGACGGGCGATGCTAGAGGAGATGAAGACGATCGAAGAAAACGAGACTCGGGAGCTCATCGATCCACCTCCAGGATGTTGTCCGATCGGCCTGAAGTGGGTGTACAAGGTCAAACGGGACGAGCGCGGCTCCATTGTCAAGCACGAGGCGTGCCTCGTCGCCCGAGGCTTTGTCCAGCGCGAGGGCATCAACATCGAGAAAGTCTTTGCGCCGGTAGCACGCATGGAGTCTATCCGACTGCTGCTGGCTTTGGCAGCAGCGAAGGACTGGGGCGTCCATTACCTGGACGTAAAATTGGCTTTCCTCAACGACGAGCAGGCGGAGATGGTCTTCATCAGGCAACCTTCAGGTTTCGCCGTAAAGGGAGCGGAGCACAGGGTGCTCCGACTGCACAAGGCGCTCTATGAGCTGCGGCAGGCCCCGCGAGCGTGGAACGCGAAGCTTGACTCCACGCTGGGCGAGCTTGGGTTCACACAGTGCGCAACCAAGCACACGCTCTACACGCGGCGATGGGGAACGAGGAGCTCGTCGTCGACGTGTATGTGGACGACTTGATTGTCACCGGCGCGCGTGCGGAGGACATCGATAGTT